TTCTTAGAAGCATTATTTTAGTTTTATCGGTATTAATGGAAAGGTGATTATCATCATACCATTTTTTTACATTGTTCATTATATTTTGTAATGAATCATTAATTATGGTTACGTTGTTACTGGATGTGTAAACAACAACATCATCAGCAAAAATGCTACAGATACCATTTCCGATAGATTGTGAAATATCATTAATTTCAAAATATCTCATTCACCGTTTCCCAGTTTTTCGTCAAACAACATTTTTCTGTCTTAGAAAAATCAGTTCTACAACATATCAAAAAAATGTTTTCCTCCGGAGTCTGACTTTAAAGAGTTTATGCAAAAATCAGAATATAGCTTCATGCAACGAATTCTGAAAAGTAGCAATACTCTAAAGGTATTTGCAATATTATGTAAACTGATGCTCTTGGATTCCAGGATGTATAGCAGATGGAGAGACCTCATGTTTAACAGTTCAACTTGATTGAAAATCCATGGGGTATGCGGGTTCAATATGACATTAGTGGAATAACGTCCCTACCCCGTTCCGGGGGTGGGGGCGGGGTCGATGCCCCCCGACGAGGGGTCAGATTTCCCCGACGAAAGCAAAGTGGACGTGGTCGATCTTTGATAAAAGGTCCGAAAGTGTCCAGGGGGCGAAGCCTCTGAAAATTTTGAAAATTTAGGGGTTTCAAATGCTTAATCGATTTTAGAGTCTACTAATATGTAGAAAATACATATAATTTGTTTTTCTCCCCGACGAATTGTGCTTCTCCTCTCCGACGGGAGGGGCAGCTCTCTCCGATAGGGCCCTGGTCCCCCGGCCCCCTCAGGTGCCACTCCTGCCACGTTAATGCTAACTTTTGTTAGGGTGGGGTATGCAGTTCATTAGGACCTTAGTGGAGTACCGTCCCTAACCCGGTAATGCATAGTTCGGTTAGGATGGGGTATGCGGGTCATTAGGACCTCAGTGGGGTAACGCCCCTACTCCACCCCAGTAATGCATATTTCCGTTAGGATGGGGTATACGGGTCATTAAGACCTTAGCGGAGTACCGTAACCTCCTTAACCCGTTAATGCACAGTTCGGTTGTTGTGGGGTATGCAGATCTTTAAGACCTTAGTGGAGTAACGTCCCTACCTCTGTAATGCTTAGTCTTTGTATCCGATATTTCTTTTTGTTTTTTGTTATAATATAATAATAATAATGTTGTATTTATGCATATTGCACATTGCCCCTATGCGCTTTACAGAGAAATAATATAGGCCAACTGAGAAAAAGCAAATAACAATAAAATAGTAACAATAAAATATAATAAAAATAATCATAATAGCAATAACAATGAGATTAAACTACTCCTATTCCTTAAACTAATTAATGGTTGGCCGTTGACTCCGAGGAGCTCATCCGCCCTTTGTTCAGCTATTGGTTTTTCTTGCTGCTGGGTGACCATAAACACCCTCCCCTCAGCAGCCACTAAGAAATTTGAGAGGGTTGTCAGTTTAGTCGCCGACGCTTCGACCGGATGGAGTTTAATGTCGTACCCAGGACGTCTCTAACTACCTTAAGCTATGCTTAACTACTCTTAAATACAGTATATTACTATTAACTACAATTAGTTTAACTATCCCCCGCCGGACACCATCCCGGTATTTAGTTATTGTATTGATATGTTGAATAAAATTTGATTTGAATTTAATTGAATTTTTATTTGCGTGAATTGCGATTATCTATCTGGACAGTATTAGTGTGTATGCTATAGGCCACCATAAAGTGAACTTATTAACATTTTCAAAC